GTGATTACTTTTTTCAAAACCTATTTTTAATACTTAAAAAATCTTAAAAAACTATATGAGATTACAATGATTATATTAAGTGTGTGGAAATGAGGTACGGAAGGTGTGTTCATTTCTTTGGAATAATTTTTTTACATAGCGATCCAAACAAAAATATAAATATACAGGAAGATGTAAAATTCCACGGGCTTCCCGAATATGTCGTTACTTTTTAAAAAATATGTTCTTTTGGTAACAATATCCTCAAAATACAGAGGGAAACTTATCTTTGCTAGGGGTATATATATCTTGAGAAGTCTTTCTAGAATCATCTTGACAATCAAACTAACTTACGTGTTCATCACCACTGTAAGTGACTCCATACTAAAGAATGTAAAACCAAATATCCTTTAAAAGATAAAAATAGCAACAAAATTTGTATTGACATTTTTATCTTTGATGTTTGAGTTATTCTTACAGGATCATATTTTCTGATTTAATTTGATTTTCTTGTTTTAAAATAGTTATTACAAAAAGCATGATTGCTAAAGTAAAATATATAATTGAGTTTGATATTGCTTGAAGAATCGCAAGCAAATGTATTCGTTTTGAAAATAGTCTAAAGAAGTGATTAAATCGCAATTAATTCAATGCTTAGTTATGAAAACCATGTTTAAAGCATTAAAAAAAAGATTATACATTGATTTGGGTCTTTTATTCGGTGGTTAGTGTTTCTATTCTGTGATCCTGCAGCTGTCAGACGCATCAGTAAAGTAAACGACTACATATGATGACTTTAATAGGTTGTGCGCGAGTTTTTCAGAAGCCCTATAGCAGAAAAAATGGCTTTTTTTGCACTTGTATTGCATAAGCGCATGCATGTGCTGCACGTGGCTGCGCACATATTCATTAGATCTGCCATGATCGATAACCTCTAGCAAAATATCAACAAATTATTTAACGCTCAAACAGTTGTTAAGTAAAACACATTTAACTGAATCAAAACTTACTTTGCGTTTTTCGTAAGACAGTTTTTTAGATTCAGGGCTTTCGCCATGCACAGGAATTCTCGATAACGATACATTGGAGAAAGAAAATTTTTTTTGATTTGTAGATAACACTTTTAGGCAGGAGTCGACAGAGTCCGATTTTTAAGTTATGCTTCTATTTTTTATAGAAATCGGGATTTCGAAGAAACCTTCCAAGGATTTTTCCGACTTTAAAGTTCTATTAAGCATTAGAAAACAGTAAATGAGAAATTCAGAATTGCTATACATTTCAGAAAACATTAACTTCTATTCGGATTTGTGCTCAAACAGCTGTCCATTCCTTCCTTTTGAACACATGTTCACATGTTTGTTAGTCATTTGCGAAGAGAAGGTGAACCAAATATAGTATGTGATTACTTTAATAATCAACCTATGTTAGACATAACAAGTAGACTTGAGTGTTTTTACATAAAAATTTCTTGGGCAAATAGTATCGTCAGTTACATATCTGAATGTTTTACTCTAGTGAACATTCGTAAAAATAGAGTAATTTTTGAAATGTCTGTTCTGTATGATGTTATTAAAACCGTTTCTAATCTGTGTTTTAGGTAAATTTTACTACTGACTTCTACTACTTTATGTTTGCCCATTACCAACAAAGAAAATTAATACTCACTTATGTTGTTCGGTTAGTAAAGCACAATAATTATCGCCAAATTGTTTTTCTTTTGCAAGTTGTGCTACTGTTCGGATATTCTGGATGCATTGAATAATCATCTAAAAATGTATATTTATGTAAGAATAAAGTCAGAAAAATCCTTGGAAAATTAGCAGAATGGATCTCGGAAGGAAATAAAGACAGAAAAGATCTCGGAAAAATGTCAATTAAGCATTTCTGCATAAAAGATCTCGGAAAATGATATTTATTTTTTTATTCTGCAGAAAAGATCTTGGAAAAATAAATTTATCTATTTATGCAGAAGAGATCTCAGAATAATGAATAATCGAGAAGAAAAACATGTGCATAAAGCACAGTATTATGAAGTCATAACATTTCAGCTTCATTTTCAACCACGTTCATTTGTTTAACCACTCGTCAATTATTATCGACATGTCAATATTCAACAGTTTTGGCCATCGATTGTACGTACAAAATATTATTCAATGGTTTACCACTTGTGGTCTTTGGCACCAGTGATCTACATCGTCATTTTCGTCCAGTTGGTGTATGCTTGATTTCAACCGATGAATCTGCCGAAACGTTTAAAACATTATTTCGTGGAATTCAGGTTAGTATGAAACTCGTCTGCTGATTAAAAAATGGTCTGCTGATCACGAATTAAATGGTTTCCAAGATTATTTCGAACGTGAACGGCTATTGAAATTGCCATTTTGGTATGAAGGAGCAGCTATATTAACACCATCAACGAACAACGGGCTGGAATCGAAGAACGGCAAAATTAAACAGAATTATACAATGAGACAGAAAATGCCAATTTCTGCTTTTTTACAGACAGCAGAACGTATGCTGAATGATTGATCACTGAATAATGAAAAAACACCATTTGCTACGAGCATTACGTACAATAATGATTTAGATTTGAAAGCATTTGAATGGTTACAAGAGATTGATAAATCTCAAATTGCACAACTGAATCCATTCACTTTCGTTGTTCCATCAAATGATCCAAAAATAAATGTATTCGCACGTGTTCAGCAATTAAATTCAGCAGACTGGCAATCATTTGATGAATTCATTCGCTGGTCCTCATCAGGCCATTTGCTCAATTGCTCACGTTTTTTACCACCGTGGTTTTGTTCATGTAGATATGGTCTCAAAGAACACTCATGTATGTATGCAATTGGTTTAATGATGATGTGGGGCACAAGGCCTGTCCCACAACTTATTGGTAAACGTAGAGAAATAGGGCGTCCAAAAAAAATAAAATTAGCATTACAATATGACCAGAAAACTGAGCTTGTTGTCTTTTAATTATTTGTGCCATATTCTTGTGAGTGCTGCAAAAAGTTTCGCATTGAAGAATCGTTTTGCCAAAGACTGCACTGTTTGGAAGGTATAATATACGCTGCATAAATAGATAAATTTATTTTTCCAAGATCTTTTCTGCAGGATAAAAAAATAAATAACATTTTCCGAGATCTTGTATGCAGAAATGCTTAATTGACATTTTCCCGAGATCTTTTCTGTCTTTATTTCCTTCCGAGATCTTTTATTTTCACGTCCTTTATGTAAACTACCTCATTTTTTTCACCAATATATAGAAACGCTAAATGCCCTTCAACATAAAGTAATTTTTACGTCAAAACAAAAATCACAAAACTTTAGGCTTTTTATCGGGAAAACTATTTTGATTTGCACGCTTGCCGCTGACTAATAATAGTTGAAACCTATAAATCATTTTGGCAAAGCATATTTTACGATTCTGATTTCATAGTCAAAAAAAATATCGAAAATTAGGCGCTTTTTCAAATTGATACTACTATGCTTTTTGTGGGTAGTGGATGCTTGTAAACATTTTTTCAGTGTGCTTTCTCATGGGTATTTTCTAATACCGTGTTCCTCGTTCAAGTAGATGTATACAGTCATAATTGCACACTCAACCTCACAACAAAACTTACTGTTCCAGCTTTTTCAAATATTTGTTTATCGACGTTATTGAACTGAGCTGTTAAATATGTTTGTAGAATACCAATCATTATCATGAAGAAATTAAGTACTACCAAAACAGTTGTCAGACGCCAGCTTATTACAAATCCAATTATTATTACGATTACCAAATTTGTAATTGATTCAACAATTGTAGCAAGCCGTTTAGTAACTACCTTAAAACAGTGAATCAAACATAAAAATATAAAATACTTTGTTGATTTGAAAACCAGGATGAGAACAGTTTTTCGTCAAATGAGCATCAAATAATTCTTTTCTTTGCTCAAAATAAATTTTTTGTTTGAGTATGTAGACGGAGAAGTGGTATTGCAAATTCTCTTCACTATAGACAGTACTCCACGGCGACTACTTATGTTCAAAATCGCAGCTCTCTAGCTATTATCCAGAATGAGTTATTGAAGTGTTAAAATTGACTTTTAGCAAGCACAAGGTTCAGACACCTTCTCACTTGAAGTAAAACGATTATATACTCAGAATATTTCTATCATCAGAAGAGACCTCATCAAAAACTCGTACATCGATTAAGCATCGTCAGCTGTGTCTGCATATGATAACACTTAAAGGGAGAGAAAACAAGAACGTCGCAATTCCCATACTTTGTTCAGTAGAATAGTGTAATCAACTTGAATTAATGCGGCTTTGTACAAAAAGTTTTTTTTGAATAAAAATCAGCGCACACGTAAGATCCATTGTAATAAAATTGATGGTAAAGTAAAATACGCCTAATACACTTTCCCGTTCTACTAACAGAAACTGAACCGTAAATAGAACAGTGGCAGTCCAGAGAAACTATATTAGATTTTTATTACAATATAATTGTCGACAAACAGAATATTCAGTACTTACATGTTGAATAGCCGATGCATCAGTAGCCAAACGTGTACAAAGAGCGCCGGTATTGTTTTCTTCTTTATCAAACCACGCTACTTCTTGACGAAGAATTGTTTGAAACGTTTTGGCTCGTAAACGTTCTGTCAGTTTTTCACCAGAATAACCAAAAGAAAAATACTAAAACAAAAGCACAAGCAAAATAGATGATTTAAAGTTATGACACAACTGAAAGATCAGTCATGTTGTTACACGCATTATTTCCTTGCCTATATTTATATTTCTGAGAACAGTCAGTTTTCTGAAGATTTTTTGCGTTAGAACGGATTTAAAATTTTTTATCGACCTAACTGATGGGTGTGGTTCATTTAAAATATCTAAATTATTATTGTAATGGAAGCAAAGTCGGCATTTTTTATTGTAATCGATGCGATCACGAGAAACAATTATATTTTCAAAAAACGGATAATAGTAGGGCTAACTTTCTTGCATGATCGTAGATTTTGCTTATTTGCAATTACTTGTAAAAATCTTGCTATGAATAAAAGAAAGCCAAGACCAGTAAAACCTAATAAGTAATTTTTAACACGTAGTTGCTGTACTGTGTAATCGCATTCTTGAAATACCTAAAATGACCATAAAAACGCGTTTTTGATAAAGCTCTTGCAAGAGAATAAATATCCTTTACAACCACTTATTTAGTTACATAAAAGACCCAGTGTTGGAAACTTGGACTGTCCCTTACTACGTGCGCAGTCATTGAGACTGCCCTTCTGTAATTTTTCTTTCAACATAGTTGAGAATATATATGTGAGATGTC